TAATTTTTTCTAAAACATTTCTGTAAGAAGCCACTGATAATTATAATTAGCTTAAATTTATTCTTACACTACTTAAGACAAATTTCATTTAGAAAAGGCTACCATGAGGTCTTCTGACTATATGCAGTAGACTACATACAGATCTCATTTCTGTTATGAATCCTTTAGCAATTATAGTCAACTATTCCACTAAGTATTAGATTTGGTCACTTAGTAACTCATTCTCTTCTTTAGTCAATCATTCCTTCACTAAAACATTTCTTGAGAATTTGGTAAACACTAGGCTCCATGCCAGACACTGTACAAGGTGATGGAGATTGCTCATCAGAAGGCCTCTTGCTCTTAGCCAGATCGTATGTAATACTAAATTTAAATTTTTTGCATTAAAAGGCTAAAAAAGAAATGAAGTTTGTTTTTGTTATATAGATTATTTATAGCTGTAATTAGCACATATTCATGAGACAAATATATACAATGAGTTACTATGCATATACAAAGTGCTTTTAGCTATATAAAGTGATATTGCAAAAAACTAGAGTTAATGTTTTTGTTGCTAGGGGATAATTATTAGCATAAATATCAGGTTCTTAGAGGGCTTTAAGAGAATAAAGCTACCAAAATTAGCAGCAATGTTGTAATATTACCCCAAAATATCAGGAGCAGAGGTGCTCCAGAGTGCTTTACAGCCATGATCAGGAAACTTGAACTGCCCCATTGCTACAGCAACAGCGTAAGGACTAGGAAGGCCCACCAGCTGGGGAGGTCATCTTGGAACCCTCTGAACCAGAAAGAAGCATCTCAGCGTGATTCCTCAGATGCAGTGAGGAAAGTTTACAGAATTTTCACAGGGCAACAGAGATCAAGTGGTATGAAAAGGAAGGAGTTTTAAGCTCAAGTCTAACAGATAACCTGCCTTTAGACTCTCAGTCAGAATTTGGCCCACAAAGAGGAATTTTCTCCAGGAACAGATAGGACATTGATGAAGGAGAAGTCACTTCAGTAAAAACCGAGTACGGAAATCTCTCATAATATCTTGCATTTTGTAGATTTATTAAAGATTAGTTTCAAGTTCACGTTCACTATTCAGTTGTAAACTGAATGGACGGGAGGGCAGAAAATACAAGCTCTCCACACAGGTATGCTCCTTTCTTAGCTGAGAGAGAAGAAGGCATGGGATTTTCAGCATGAATTCCATGTCATGTGAGTGCTGTTTGGGTTCAAAAGTACTCTCAGTGTCTGTTCCTGAAAGTGATCTCTGTCAGACCACCTTACATGCCGGTCTTAGTTATTTTTAAAATTGTGAGGTTTCTTCACACCTTTGATAAGAAGTGGTTAGCTGGCAGAGTTTTCCCTTGAAATGGCTTGCAGATGAGATCTTCTGGCTCACCTTGATCTTAACATGAAACCATTGTGACCTATCTGGACTCCCTAGGACCTGTGGTTTCCATTTGGGTTACATTAGTGTCTAAGGAATGTGTCAGTACTGGGCAAGAAATACTCAGAAATTCAGGCCATGTGGGGTTAGATTAGAGCAAAGTAATTTAGGTGAGCTATCCAGAGCTTTCAACCTCAGGGTTTGTAGGAGAAAAAAAAAAAAAAAAACGCTTAGGACTTCTCATGTTCTAGCCCTGACCTTGCAGTGTCCTCTGAGGGGCCTCCTAAGACCCTTACAAGAATATTACAGTAGGGCTTTGTGCATTTTACAGTGGAACTAGCCTCTGGCAGCATACTTCAAATGCTAGTTCCAGCTAAAAACAAATAATTTTAATTTTTATTAGTTTCTTGTCTTTCAACTTTCTGCCATCAAAATATATTTATTTTATTACTTACTGATTATGGGGAACCTGCAAAAAAAAAAAAAATACCTGCTGTCTGCAGCCACTGATTGGTTATTTTTGATAGTTTAAGAGAAATATAAATCAAGTTGTTCTTTCCACTAGAGTTATAGAAATTCTGTGCTAGAATGGGCCTTCTAAAATGAGGTGGTCCTGTCATTTTCTAGAGAAAGACACAAATTCATAGGTTTGAGTGGCTTGTCTGACATAGCCATACAGCCAGTTGGTAACAGAATTCAGAGTAGAATAGAGTTCTTTTTTTCTGTCAGTCCATGTTCTACTTCTCTTTCCTTGTCCTCATGGTTGAGCAGATTTTGGCAAAATGTGTTCCTTATAGCAGTAGTTTGAAGAGATGTTAATAGATGTAAGAGAAAAAAAAGTATGTGTGTGGGTGATTCCATGGTCAATTAAAATGAAGGAATGCTGAGTTTGTTTCCTTTCTGTAAAGTTTTGAACATGCTATTACACATTGTGAATTTATAAGAGGGGACAGAAACTGTGTTTGACCTTAGACTGCACTTCCCTTCTCCATTCCTCAGAGCATCTCAAAGGACTTTGGGAAACATGGCCCTCGATCAGGTTTACAGCTCTTTGGGAAGACATCCCTATGGAAATACTGAATGGCAGACCTGTTACAGTGGTACCATGCAGTCTGTAATAAATCTTGAAGTTTAGTGAGTTACTAGAAAGCAAGCATATTTGCTGTTCAGAGCTATACTTAAGGTATAGAGATTCTTTTCCACCTGTGGTGTGTAAAATCAGTATTTGTGTTTAATTTTGCAGGTTTTTCAAGGATCAACTAATGTGCAAATACAGTGGTGATATATTGATATTACATTTTAATGCTTTTGTATGGCACTTTATAGTTTTCAGACACCTTTTGTAACAGCCCTGTGAGATAGACAATATTATCCTTGTTGTACAGATGAGGGAACTCTGGAGGCTCTGAAAAGTTGTTGGTGATACTCCCCTAAGTTTATGTCACAAAATGATGGAGCCAGAATTCAGTTGCAGAACTTCTGACTCCAAGTCCAGAGTGCTTTGCTAGACACCTGGTTCCTTACTAGCTTTCTGCCAGCTTTATATTTTACAGTGAAAAGTATGGAAGCAAATCCTGATCATTTTGGCTTGTTTTCAAATACGACTTCTTTTTTATTGCAGTGACCCAGCAGATGTAAGTCTCATTGTAGCCATCCCAAAAACCCTTCTTTGCCCTTTGCAGTGCCACTTATTTAGGTGACTGAAATGTATTTCAAATACCATTTGATTTTGAACTAAGACTGGATATAGAGTTGTAATTGCTTACATAACTTTTTGAAAATGTGTCATCTCTGGGTTCTCAGGCAAAGGAAGACAACTTGAAAGTAAAGAATATTCAAATATAACAGTAAATATTCTCTATTCTCACACAAATGCTGTTTCTTAGCTTTAACTTGCTTTGACAACCTACTGATGTAACTTCTTTGTAAATGTGAAAAATTATATTTTGAAATAAAATTACTAGTGTTGAATGAATCAGGTGGTAAACAATCTCCTCTTTGTTGAAAAACTCGATCTTTTGTGAAGCCAAACTTTCATGAATCCATCTGTCTCTTAGGCCTTCTATCTTGCCATTTTCTCCAGCACCATTGCATACACTGAATTCTTATGAAATACTGTCAACTTTGTGTGTGTCTGGGGAGTAGACACTGGGCGCCTTAAAGAGATCAAGAGCCCTCCGTGCACAGGGGAAGGTGGCCTTGTGGTAGGTAAGGAAGTGGTGAGATGGTTGGCTGAGAAGTAAGAACTGGAAGAAAAAATTGGATTAAGGACCTGTGCTTTTTGAAGAAAAGCTTGACTGTCTTCAATGCCAAAAACAGCTGCACAGCACTGGTAAATGGATGAAGTTGAAGCGACAGGTGGAAGCACCACGAAGCACTTTTTAATGATGCTTGGGAAAGAGCTCTTTGATGCCTCAGTTGATCATATCCAGCTCATCAATATGGTGTTATGGGAGGAGAAATGATCCAGGCCAAGGTGTCCGAGTGGACTGTGCAGCCTCAGATTCTTTTTTACTCTGATAGGTTCTCACTGGTAGATATGATAATTCACAAAACATTTCTTCATGCTTCTCAGTCTTGCTTAAGCCTGGAACTCCTTCACAGTGTGCATACTGCTGACAACCTCCTTTTGGCCTTGCTCCTGGAGACCTTAGGGTAGGAGTTTTCAGCTCCCTGCCCCCATCGTGGGGCTCTGCGAGCTCAGGGTTGTGCTTACAGAACTGATTCTTACCCTTCCCCTTAAGTGAGTTGTCAGAAATACACGCTATTGGAAGCTGTGCTGGGTTGAAACTAGTAGAACAAAACCAGAATCAAGTCTGTCGGGAGGGGCCCTTCCCGTGGGACCGGAATTCCAGTGGTAATGTGTTTCTGGGGCTTCTCTGGAAGGTTTTCATGCAATGAACAGTTATGAAGAAACTGCTCTGGGCCTGGCACTAGGAAAAAAACTTTGAAAAGTAGTTTTCAGAAGTAGTGTTGAACAGACGAAGCTTTTTCATGTTTTATTTAAATTTCTTTTGAACAATAAGTCTAAACAGTAATCTGAAAGATACACTGCCTGCTGAATACCCAGATACTCCATAAATATTGCATGATCAAATGTTCCCCCTTCAATCCAGCTCATAGTGTTTGTGAGAAATACACGGTGAAAGAATGAGGAGGTGGAGTGGAAATGGGACTTTTCAGAGAAGCCCCAGAAACACATTACCACTGGAATTCCGGTCCCATGGGAAAGGCCCCTCCCGACAGACTTGATTCTGGTTTTGTTCTACTAGTTTCAACCCCAGCACAGCTTCCAGAAGTCTTTGCGGGAATTCAGAGCTGATTTAGGGTGAGCCACCTGTCGAGAGGACGAGAAGCTTTGCTGGGGACGGTTGTCTGTCCCAGTAAGAGGAGGCCATGTGGCCGTGGGAGACAGGTTGTTTTGTTTCTCCTAGCCAGCCTGGGGAGATGGTGGCTGGAATCCCTGGAAGAGGGGCCTGAGAAGATATAGGGGCGGGGCGGGGCGGGGACGGGACCAGGCTTAGGGGGCGGGGCTGCACAGAACCCACCCAAGACTGGAGCGTGGGGGCGGGGCTGAGGCCGAGAGTGGGCGGGGCCACCCGGGATACGGGCGGCGGGGGCACACGGCTGGGGGCGGAGTCCTGAGGGGGCGGGCCTCTGGCGGCGAGGGGCGGGCGGCGCGGGTGTCCTGTCGCCGCCGCCGCTAGCGGGTGGGCTGACTGGCGGCGGGCTCGCAGTGGCGCGGAGTCCGGGCTGAGGGACAGACCGAGGGCCATGGCCGCCTCTCCCGGACCCGCCGGCGTTGCCGGCGCGGGAGCTGTCTACGGCTCCGGCCCTTCGGGCTTCGCCCTGGACTCGGGACTGGAGATCAAAACTCGCTCGGTGGAGCAGACGCTGCTCCCGCTGGTTTCTCAGGTAAAGTGGCGCCCGGGGCGGCCCCTCGTCTCCCTCCCGCCGCGGCCCGCGATGGCGGCCGCCGCTCGCACGACCGGACGGGAGGCAGCGGCTGCCCCACTTTCCGCGCCGGCACTGCGGCGTTGTCCGACCGACTGTGTGGGGCTCCTGGACGGGCCCCGGCCCCGGCGGCAAGAGACTGGAACAATCCGAAATCCGGCGGCGGGGCTGAGTGGACCCGGCAGCAAGGGAGGCTGCGGGACGAGGGGCCGGGCCGGGCCTGTGCCCGGGGCTGCGGCTTCTGGGGCCCCTGGCCGGGCGAGTCCCCCTCCGCGGGGCGAGCGGCCGAACCCAGCACCCGAGGCAGGGAGGACCTGCGCGCCCCGTCCCCCGTCCCCCGCTGGCACTTAGGGTCCTCCTCGTTTCCGCAGCTTAACCAACTTCACCACCGGTTCGCGTCCCGGTCCCGGTCCCGGCCCCTCCGCCTGGTGCATTCCTCCCGGCCTCCCCGCCCAGCATGCGCTCCCCGGGCCTTTGTCCCTCCCCGCCGTGGATCAGCTCGCCGGGCTCCCATTCGTCCCGGCCACCCTGCCCCTTCCCCTGAACCTGCTGCTGCTCACTTCTGCCTGCGTCTGTCCGGCCTCGTGGAAGAGTGACGTGAGACTGTCCGGCAGTTAATCCAGATGCACACCGTTTTGCCAAGTCCCGTTTGGGATGTGTGCGTTATTGCATTTGCTAATCAGCTAACTGGCGCCCTGAGTTTTAGGAAAGTTTTTGTTCTTCTGAGCTGGGTTATATGCAGCTCCAGGGCTAGAATTCCTCACTTAGGTCTGTGGTAAGATGCCAAGCACTGTGGGGAGTGAATTCTGTGCCTCCGGGAGCGCATTGGCGATGTGTGACTCACACGTAGGTTGTAACCACTTAGTGACTCATACTAGAATTACCAAGACTTTAGAGGTAGAAGAAATCTGAAAGATTATCTGACTTTAAAAATTCTTATAGCATCCTTGACACCTGGCTACCAGTACCCTGCTTAAACATGTTCAGTGAAGGGGAGCCTGTAGCTGTTGCATAGAATTCTAAATGCTATTATCTCTTCTCCACCCCAGCCCTGCAAATATTTGAAAACAGCAGTCACACATGTCTCTGGATTCCTGTTATGCTAGTTAAATAAACGTCTCTATTTTCTTCACCTTCGCATGGCTAACAGAGCAGTGATGAATATACCTGACACTCTCCCTCCCTTTTCCCCTATGTGTCTGATAGAGGCTCTGACCAGTAGTAAGGGGCGCTGGGATCCCTCAGTCATGTCGGACCCATCCCTCTTCCCGTCTCCACTAGCTCAAACACAACCAAAACGAGAAATACTGGAACAGTTTTAAGAGGCAGAGAGATAAGAGAGTGGTGGAGTTGAAGTTGATAGTATTTTATCCATTTTTTAAATAGCACCTATGTAATGCATACTATGTGGTAGGCCATGTTCTAAGCACTTTGTAAATATTAACTTATTTAATTTTCATAACAATTATGTGAGGTAAGGTATATATTCTTATGGTATGGGTGAAGAAACTGAGGAATAGTGAGGTTAAATAACTTGTCATTAGGGCTTTCAAGTGTAAGTGCCAAACTGGGTTTTGAATCCAGGTACCCTGGCTCCAGATGGTACTCTTTGCTACACCGTATGCTGCATCTTCTCTAGAGATTAGAAGCAGCAATGAGGTCCAGAGAAAAAGATAGAACACAATGAAAAACAAGCTAGAAGGTTGTAATCTGGAGAAATGGCAACTTTTCACAGTATCACTGCTAAAAATGTATCAGTCTTACAGCTCTGCGTTGTGTAATTCTGGGGTAAAAGAAGCCAGGGAAGAGTAGGAGAGCAGAGGAAGAAAAGTATAAATCACTGCTGAGAGTTAGAAGCCAATGCCGAAGGGGAAGAATGCCTGCTCCCCCCCCCCCCCCCCCACCCACCTTTTTTTTTTTTCCTTCCTGTTAAAGTCTTGTTCAGGGTCACAGCCGAGGTTTTGCATCCACCTCACACATTGCGTATCTACAGCTATGTCTCCACCACAACTCCATAACTGGTATTCTTCATAATTGACTGTCCTTAACAAGAAAAGTTAAAACCAAGTATATTAAGCATGGCCAGAATACTCGATTAACAAAGCAGGGAAGTACAATTTAGAATGATTTTAAAGTTTTGGTGTTAGGAGATTAAAACAGCAGCTCTTTAGAAAACTTATATGTCCAAAAGTCTCATTTTCTGAGAATGCTGTATTATTACCCACCTCATGTTTCCCCATCTCATCCACAAGGATATTTTAAGCATTTTAAGCAAGGGTTTATTGTGTGCTTATTTGTTGCTGTTTTTTGAGGGGCTTATATTCTAGTTAGTAGGTAGGTCATGAATAGAATAGCACATGCAAAGCATCAAATGACTATCATCAATAGTACATACTCTAAAAGCTCAGAGAAGGCATGGGATGAGTCAGCTGTGATGTCATGGAGGAGCAGGGTTTTGAGATAAACAAGTAGGACTGGCACTATACAGTTTAAAGTAGATAGTTTCTGTTCCGGTAACATCTAGCTTCTTTTGACTCTCCAAGTGAAAAGTCCTGGGTTACTGACCTTATTCTAAGAATGCAAGATTATATCAGTATTAGAAAAATGTGTACAGTTTTTTTCATTCACAGATTAGAAAAGATACATTTTCATAGCAATGACGCAGAAAAAGCATTCAACTAAATTCAGCTTCTAATAATGATAAGAAGCACCTAGGGAACTAGTATTAGGAAAAAAAATCCTTAATCGGATAGAGTATCTACAGAAAACTTTTAGTTAACATCATAGCAACAGTCAAATTTAAAATAAACATTTCCTTTAAAGCCAGAAACAAGAGTGGATGCCTGCTATCATAGCTACTATTCAACTGCACTGGAAATCCTAGCCAGTGTAATAAGACAAGGAGAGGAAATAAAATGAGTAAATATGGGAAAGGAAAAACCAAAAGTCTCAATGTGATATAATAACCTATGTAGAAAGCTGAAAAGAGTCTACAAGTAAATTATAAAAATTAGGAGTGTTTGGCAAGTTAACTGAGTATAGGATACACGGATAACAAACAAGGCACAGGCTCAGTGGCTGGTGTCTATAATCCCAGCTACTCTAATCTCAGCTATTCAGGAGGCTAAAAGATGGGAGGGTGGCTTGAGCCCAGCAGCTCAGGCCTGCAGTTAGCTGTGATCACGGCACTGTGCTCCAGCCTGGCCGACAAAGAGCCTGTCTTTAAAAAATAAAAAGAATAAAAAATAACAAATAGAAAAAGTAATTATTTAAAAATCCAGTTATAATGACAGTAACAGCAAAATATGAGTTTCCTAAGAATATAATGCTTTTGCCATATGTATATAGAGATAGAAATCTTTCTGTATATATACATAGCAAAAGTGGTCAGGCCTGGCACGGTGGCTCATGCTTGTAATCCCAGCACTTTGGGAGGCCGAGGCGGGTGGATCATGAGGTCAAGAGATCGAGGCCATCCTGGTCAACATGGTGAAACCCCGTCTCTACTAAAAATACAAAAATTAGCTGGGCATGGTGGCGCACGCCTGTAGTCCCAGCTACTCGGGAGGCTGAGGCAGGAGAATTGCTTGAACCCAGGAGGCGGAGGTTGCGGTGAGCCGAGATCGCGCCATTGCACTCCAGTCTGGGTAACAAGAGCGAAACTCCGTCTCAAAAAAAAAAAAAAAAAAAAAAAAAGTGGTTAAACTTCATGGAGAAAATTGAAAAATTTTATCAAAAGCCAATGTAGATTTAAATAAATGGAAAAAAGCACTGTGTTCAAGCCTAGGTTGACAATATTATGAACATATCAGTTATCCCCATTGATCAATTTAATGCAATTTTCATGAAAATTTCAGCAAGATTTTCCAGTAGCACTTGATAAAAGTAATTCTGAGGTTTATATGAAAGCATAAAGGGCCAAGATTAGGCAAAAAAGAAACGAGGTGAATGTACTTGCTTTGCCAGGTTTCAAGACTTATTATAAAACTATAGTAATTAAGACAATGTGGGTATAAGAACAGGGTTGAAAAACATAGACCTGTGAAACAGAATAAAAAACCCTAGAATAGATCCACACATATATGGAAACTCGGTAAATGAGAATTGGCATTGCTGGTAAGTGGGAAAAGGAAGAACTTAAAAAAATTAAGCTAGGACAATTGGATATCTAAATAGAGATATATGAAATTACATCTCTGTCTCATACCAGTAAAAAAGTCAATTTCAGATGGATTAAGGACAGTATGACAGTAAAAGCTCACAACACTTTTAGGAAAAAAAAAATAGGGCAATATCTTCATTACCTTATGCTGGGAAAGGATTTCTTAGTATACCAAAAGGACAAACCTTAAGGAAAAAGTGGATAAATTTGACTTTATTAAAATGAAGAACCTAGGCCAGGTGCAGTGGCTCACGCCTGTAATCCCAGCACTTTGGGAGGCTGAGGTGGGCTGATAGCTTGAGTCCAAGAGTTTGAGACCAGCCTGGGCAACATGGTGAAACCCCATCTCTACAAAAAATACAAAAAATTAGCCAGGTGTGATGGCGTGCACCTGTGGTCCCAGTTACTCAGGAGGCTGAGGTGGGCAGATTGCTTGAGCTGGGGAGGTTAAGTCTGCCACAAGCTGTGATCACAACACTGCACTCACCCTGGTTGAGTGAGAGAGTGAGATCCTGTCTCGAAAAAAAAATAAAAATAAAAATAAAACCTCTCTTCATCAAAATGAAAAGATAAGTCGTGGGAGAATACGATTCCAACACAAATAATCAACAAATGATTTGTAGCACCTAGAATAAATTAGACTCCAATGAATAAAAATTAAAAAGATTATTTATTAAAAATTGGTTTTAAAAAATCTCACAGAAGAGGAAACAGACAGCTAAAAGATATATGAAAAGATACTCAACTTCATGAGAAATCAATGAACTACAAGCTAAAAAATCCACAGTGAGAATAAATG